TGAAAGGCCCGCCCCCTGTTATCATTTACCCTTGGCACTCCAAACTTACCTTACCTACCACGCCCTTTATAACCCTTTCTCCCATTTTAGCATTCCAGTCCCCTACTACAGTTACTCTCTCACTTCGTTCAAAACTTCCTAAACACTCGCCTAACATCTCCTTTACACTCCTCTCTTGAATCCCGACTCATTCCGATTCATTCGATTCGATTCGATTTGCTGCAAGTGGACGGCGCAGCGATATTACGTAGGAGTTTTCACTCTGACCACTAATACTCAAAGTTACATTTTTTGGGTTATCCTGAGCTGTTCAAAGCTGAGAGGAAACTTGCTCCCTGTCACTTCGAGTCCCATCCCATCAAGAGGGTAAGGCGGTGATTAGCTTTCTTACTCCCCCCTCTCCCCCTGTCACTCCCCAACCTCATCCTACCCCATCCTACCCCTCCTCAGTACTCCAATCACTACATTGGTCTAATTAAAAACACACTCTTTACACTGCTGTCCTTTTATCTTTACTGTCTTCTCCTTTTTTGGCAACTTCGCCTTTGGCGATTTGGAACAAGGCAAGGTGACTATCCAGTAGTCCGTGCGGTATTTTAAGCTCTAGTCGATCATTGCCTTGGGCCCTGACCCCCCCTCACTTCCTCGAGGGTAGGCTATGTTAAAGGGCTGACCTTCATAAGTCAGCTGAAGAAGGAATGTCGGACACTTAGGAAAGCTCTTTTTCCCAGCATATTATGTGAAACAACCTTACCCTAACTGGGCAACATGCCCAATATAAGAGTCAAACGTCGGGTCAGTGATGGCCAGAAGTTCAAATTTTACATTGCACTAGTGATAATACCACGGTTGCACCTGTGGAGATATTCCAGACCCACTCAGGTGCAGTACTACTGCTCTCCTCGGAAGTGGAGCTTATCCAGTTACTCAAGAAAGATGTTCTTGACAAACTTATCAATGTGGGTATCACCTCCATTCCCCATGGCAAATTCAAGGCCCAGGGCTGTCCTTGTTGCACGCATCAACAGCTTCATGCGTGAAAATACTGTTGAAGAACTCCTGGAGGAGATAAACAGTGCAAACGCCGAGATCAACGTCCTTAAGACATCATGTGGCTGGCTAATAGTGGGAATGAGTTACTTTCTTCCCAGACAGCCATACATAGAATCAATTCCCCTTCACCGATTACTTACTAGGAATGTCCCTACAGTCCTAGCAGGGAATTTCAATGTCCATCACCCCGCTCTTTTCAACTGTGGCGCCGCTCAACTAATCAATATAAACGCCATCCTGAACAATTCTGGAGTAAGATCCGCCGGCTGCTGGAGGCTAAACCCACACTCATCTCCTTTCATATTCCTTTACCAAGGTCGACGGTGAGAAAATTCTCTCGCACAGTGTAGAGGATTCAACAGCAACCACTACCAGTGGTTTAACCAATGGAGGGATTACAACCGGGCAGACTTCCACCCGGTACCATCAATTGATACAGCTACACTTGAAATAGAACACCCCTTCACCAGACCAATTACCCTCAAGGAGATGTGCCAAATCTTAGGCAGAATGAGAAATAAGGCACCAGGCCCCTCAGGCATAACAGTACAACAATTAAAGGGCCTATCCCAAAACTGCAAGATGTCTCTTGTTAATGTCTATAATACCATCTTGGCGACTGGACATTTTCCCGTGGCACTTAAGACAGCGATGATGATATTCATTGCTACACCCAACAATGACATCTGCAAACTACAGACCTATCTCCTTACTGGAAGTCACTGGCAAAGTCTTTGACAAAATCAGAGGTCAGTACGCTGCGGCCAGAAGTCACGTGTGGTCACTCTCCTAAGCTGTTACTGAGCACCATGGCTTGCTGTAGTGTTTTGGAATCTCAGGTTACAATGTTGAAGAAGGAGGTTCTACTTCTTCAGGAGGAAAATAGGAGGCTGAAGCTTCGCCTAGATGGGCTTGGGAGTGAGTGTGAGATGGTGGGAACTGGTGAGGAAAAAGGATACCAGCAGTGAGCTGAAGAGTTGCAGCCGCTTTAAGTGGTAGGTGGTTCACAGTTCAGGAAGAAGGAAGATAAGGAAGGTTAATGGAGAAGATGTGGAGGGTGGAAATCGATTCTCTGTTCTCCAGAACGAGTGTACTTCAGTGGTTAGTGAGGTTAAAGGTAGCACTGACTCCCCTGCTAATCAAGGTAAGAATATTCTAATTGTAGGAAATTCTCTGGTAAGTTATATGGACCGTGCTTTTTGTAGCATAGATAGGAAGGTCAGACAGAGGGTGTGCCTCTCAGGAGCTGGTGTTGGTGACATAGTCAGCAGGTTGGATAATATTATGTCAGGTAATGGGAACAAGCCCATTATCTGTCTTAGTGCTGGTGGAAATGACATCAGGAAGGGCAGGAGACAGGAGCTGCTGGATAAGCACAGGTCAGCCATAGAAGTTGTTAGGTCTAAGAGAGGGATCCCAATCATATGTAGCATCTTGCCTAGAAGGAGAGTGGGCAATGAATGGATGTCTAGGGCAATTGGTATAAACTGCTGGCTAGACAGGTACTGCAAAGAACTTGCAATGCCATTCATTGATAACTGGGGCAAATTCTATGGCAAGCATGATATGTATGGAAGGGATGGCGTTCATCTCTTCGGGGTTGGAGCAGTTGCGTTAGCCAGTTCGATTGAGGGGGTCATTGATGACTTGTTTAGGAATTTAAACTGATAGATTATAGAGGTATGGGTGTTTGTGGGAAACAATCAGGCTGCAGTATTAGGGAAGAAAACATCATATATTACCAGGATACCCCAAGGACATGTTTAAAATAAGGTTGCTAGTAAAGGCAAAGCAATTGCTCAACAAAGAGAGATAGTAGAGGACAACGAGAGACTAGCTCCCTTAAGGTTTACTATACAAATAAAAGCAGTCTAAGAAATAAGATAGATGAGCTAAGATTACTTGCAAGTGCAGTTAATATAGATATTTGCTATAACAGAGACCTGGTTCAACTTTAAAGATAGAGAAATGCCGTCTGAATGCAACATACAGGGTTATAAACCATTCCACGCTGATAGGGTCAACAGGAAGGGTGGTGGAGTGGCAATGTATGTCAGAGATAATTTAATTGTGTTAGACAAGATGTAAGATTAGAAACATCGGACACAGAATCTGTTTAGCTACAGTTTTTCGAAGGTCGTGAAAAATTAATCTTGAGTGCGATTTATAGGGCCCCAAACCTTGATAGGGAGTGCAGTAGGCTACTATGGGACGAAATTCATAAGGCATCTAGATAGGAAAAATGTTGTGTTGTGAATGGTTTGAAAACCGACAAGTTGAAGAATTGAGACACTTATGCAACATATGGGGAAGCTTTGTTGAGGAAACTTTTGCCACACAGTGGCTTCATCAGTCTTATACAAGGCAGGAAGGCAAAAGGAGGAGGAGTTTGAGGTAATCAGTCCCTCAGTCTGGGGTCGATGTGTTCAGTCCACCAGTCTCGTAGAAAGTACAGCACCGGGCCGTAGCAGTGGCTTATATACTGTAGTCAGGTGAAGCGAAGCAGGAGGAGGCGGGGTCATAATGGAACCATCTACTAGTCTAAGTAGGTCTTCGTCCAAAGATTGGACAAGTTTCGAAGAATTCTTTGTTTCAAGATCCCATGGTGATGCAATGTCTGACAGATGTGATGAATGGTTTGAAAATTCTTCAACTTGTCCGTTTTTAAACCAATCATCACATCTGTCAGACATTGCCTCATCATGGGATCTTGATACAAAGAATTCTTCAAAACTTGTCCAATTTTTGGACGATGACCTACTTAGATTAGTGGATGGTTCCACTATGACCCCGCCTCCTCCTGCCTCGCCTCACATGACTACAGTATATAAGCCACTGCTACGGTCCTGTGCTCAGTAGTTGAACTGAGCAGAAGAGTGCTTGAGCAGTATACGTCGCATCATTGTAGAAACCTTTCTCTCTAGGGAGCCAGAGACGGGTCATCGCAAGATTGAGACCCGTGCCAGGACTACAGTCTTGTCGAACATTATACATACACCTGTGCTCAGTAACATGCCTGGTTTCACATTCCCTGCATCTCCACCTTCCACAGAGATCATAAAAACCACTGCAAATGTCGCCAACATTACCGCTGGAAAAGAATCTTTCATCCGTAATCCATGCGTAAACCATGCGTGTCGTAATAAGTGATTAAAATGCCGGGAGCAATGTGCTAGTAACCCTTCTCCTGTATAAATTACTAAATATAATAATAAGAAAAACTTTACAAAGCTGGGATGTTTGAATAATCGTTGATATAGTGCAGATAGCGAGGAAGTAATTGCCAGTGTTATGAATGAAAAGAAGTTGGATACTCTAGCTCTAAGTAAAACAAAACTGAAGAATGAAGGGCAATTTCAGTGGGGAGAAATAAATAAGATTAGGTAAAGAGTATCTGAAAGAGTTAGAGATAAGAAAAGGGTAGCAATAACTGTGAAAGATCAGTTATAGAAGAAGAAGAAGGGGGAATATCATTGTTTAAATTCAAGGATTATTTGGATTAAAATAATGGTCAGATGCAAAAAGTGGGTTGTAATAAGTGTTTGTGCACATGGAGATTATGGAAGATGTTTAATGAGTGTTTTATGAGTTTTAAACCAAGTGAGAGAGTAGTTGTGGTAGGGGATCTAAATACTAAAGAGGGAGAAACGTTTATAAGGGCGTGGTAGATAAGTTTGGGGGGCGGGGTGCTAGGGGTAAGTGTTAGTGTTACCCACTGCTGCGTATACTCCAGCCAGTGTTAGTGTTATCCATTACTTGAGTATATTCCAGCCAGTGTTAGCGTTACCCCACTGTTGAGAATACTCAGCCAGTCTTAGTGTTACCCACTGCTTGAATATACGCCAGCTAGTGTTAGTGGTACGTAACGTTCGGGCCATTCTGGCACTGGTATCCATGATTTGAAAACTCACTAAGCAGTTTACCTTCAGTGTCATTCCGGTTTACGTATGGGTGTGTTGCGCGAGCAATCATATAATTATAAAATATTAACACTGATTTCTCCCTATATCCTACAGTTGGCGTGGATTCAGCGTGACCGCTCAGCCATCTTGACGGTGGGCAACCATGTCATTACCAGGAACAACCGCATCGGTGTCTCTCACGACGGTCACCGCACCTGGTACCTCACCATCAAGGACGTGCGACCTGGCGACGCCGGCACCTATATGTGTCAGATCAATACAGCTGTCGCTATAAGTCAGATCGGACACGTCAGCGTAGTGGGTAAGTTAAGAGAAACTTAAGTTCCCCCGTCTTCTAATAACATGTTCCTTTTTCCTCTATACTCTACCTTGTCCATAATTACTATCGCATTTGCTTTGTCTGCTTTCGTAACGTGAAGTCTAGAACCTTTCCTTATTTCATGGTATAACTTAACAAATCTTTGAGAATAACTGTGTTGCAGAGGTCTGAGCGAAAAGAGATTTGTACATAGCAAATGCGATAGTAATTATGGACAAGGTAGATTACAGTGGAAAAATAAACATATTAATAGAAGACGGGTTAACTTACGTGCCCCTTAATATATTATTGCAATTTTAATTGTGGGGAAACATTAAATTCGTATTTGTCATTCAGCGGTGAGGGAATGTTATGCAATCAGGCTTGATCAGTGGAAGGAATAACTCCAGTTCTTTGGATCATTAGATACCATTCTTGAAAAGAGAAATTTGACACATGAACCAGATGTTTTCCTAAGGCTCTTTGATTTATATATATATATATATATATATATATATATATATATATATATATATATATATATATATATATATATATATATATATATATTATATATATATGTCGTGCCGAATATGTAAAACTGGTCAATTAGCAAGAACTCATTTAAAATAAAGTCCTTTCTAAAATTTTCTCTTATACGTTTAAAGATATATATTTTTCATTAATGTTAATGTAAAAAATTTTAATTTTGCTCCAAAAGAATCTTAGAAAACTTACCTAACCTTATTATAACAAGAACAATTTATTTTAGCCTAATCCAACTAAATATATTTTAGATTTCTTTACAATAATTTAATACTAAACAAATACAGTGAAATATATTTTTTTCGTTAGGTTTAGAATGATTTTGGCGAAATTATTGCATACACAAATTTTCACTTGTCCTATATGGCAAGATGAGCGTTGCTATTTAGCCAAGATCGCAAGTTTGCCTATTCGGCACGACATATATATATAATATATATATATATATATATATATATTATTATATATATATATATATATATATATATATTATATATATATAAAATATATGTATATTTTATTATCACACTATCCGATTCCCACCAAGGCAGGGTGGCACGAAAAAGAAAAACTTTCACCATCATTCACTCCATCACTGTCTTGCCAGAAGGGTGCTTTACACTACAGTTTTTAAACTGCCAACATTAACACCGCTCCTTCAGAGTGCAGGCACTGTACTTCCCATCTCCAGGACTCAAGTCCGGCCTGCCGGTTTCCCTGAACCCTTTCATAAATGTTACTTTGCTCACACTCCAACAGCACGTCAAGTATTAAAAACCACTTGTCTCCATTCACTCTATCAAACACGCTCACGCATGCCTGCTGGAAGTCCAAGCCCTCGCACACAAAACATCCTTTACCCCCTCCCTCCAACCTTTCCTAGGCCGACCCCTACCCCGCCTTCCTTCCACTATATATATATATATATATATATATATATATATATATATATATATATATATATATATATATATATATATTGGCAGTTTGGAGGGATATGTTGTGTATCTTTATGCGTATATGCTTCTAAAACTGTTGTATTCTGAGCACCTCTGCAAAAGCAGTGATAATGTGTGAGTGTGGTGAAAGTGTTGAATGATGATGAAAGTATTTTCTTTTTTTGGGGATTTTCTTTCTTTTTTGGGTCACCCTGCCTCGGTGGGAGACGGCCCGACTTGTTGAAAAATATATATATATATATAATATATATATATATATATATATATATATATATATATATATATTATATATATATACATTTATGTGTGTTAAGGAAGCTAGAGAAAAAAATGGATTTGTCAGTTAAAAATAGGAGAGGAGAGTTATTAAATGGAGAGTTAGAGGTATTGGGAAGATGGAGGGAATACTTTGAGGAATTGTTAAATGTTGATGAAGATAGGGAAGTTGTGATTTCGTGTATAGGGCAAGGAGAAATAACATCTTGTAGGAGTGAGGAAGAGCCAGTTGTGAGTGTGGGGGAAGTTCGTGAGGCAGTAGGTAAAATGAAAGGGGGTAAGGCAGCCGAGTGGGAGACACAGTTGGAAGTTGGAGACACAGATGAATCACAGGGATGTTAGGAAGTAATTCTTCAGTCACAGAGTAGTCAGCAAGTTGAATACTTTGGGAAGCGATGTAGTGGAGGCAGGATCCATACATAGCTTTAAGCAGAGGTATGATAAAGCTCACGGTTCAGGGAGAGTGACCTATTAGCGACCAGTGAAGAAGCGGTGCCAGGAGCTAAGACTCGACCCCTGCAACCTCAACTAGGTGAGTACGTTTACACCCACACATTCTCATATATACACACACACACACTCCCCCCTGCACCCTCCCCCTACCTATCTACCACCTCTTCCCCTGATCCCCCTCCTCTCTCTCTCACCCTCCTTCCCCCACTCCTCTCCCTCTTTCCCCCTCTCCCTCTACCATTCTCTCTCCCCCTTTGCTTCTCCCTCCTCCTCTCTCCCCATATTCCCACTTCCCACCTCTCTCTCATTTCACCACTGTTTCCAGCTTCCTCCCTTTACCTCCCTTCCCCCCCACACACACTCAGACAAACACACCACAAAACAAACACACAGAATTACGTAAGTTTTCATTCTGTGGGAACTAAAACAAAACAAAAATGGGTTGCCAGAGAGCAGGAAGGAAAACCAGGGGACTGAAGGATGAGTCTGCGAGCAGCAGACTATGAAAAAGGAACATGAGTGGGGAAAGAAGACAGAAGAGCTGAGCATAAGAATGGAGGAGAGGATAGATGCAGAAAGCAAGAAATGGGTGATGGAAGTCACAGCAGCAGAGGCTAAGATACAGAGATTAGAGGAGCTGAAAAATCTGAAACAGTCTAAAGAACTAAAACAATTTGGGAATGACATGAGAGACTGCTACCTCAGTTACAAAAAAGGGGACTGTAGGGAACGAAGAAGTGAAACAGTATGCAGAGGCCCTATCAGACCTCACAGAGCCCGAGAAAAAGAGAGAATCACATCAGGAGCAATCGAGGGTACTGTAATAAATGAAAGAGCTAAGCTATATGTGGAGGCCCTAATAGACCACAACAGAGCCCAGGGAAAGCTGAGAAGGGAAAACTACAGGCCACTGGGCCCAAGGACAACAGAGAGCGAAGAAACTGAAGAAAGGAAAGTTGCAATGGAGGCAACTAAATCGAGTCAGAGAATACATAGGAATATGCAGTGGGAGAATGAAATGAAGAGGTCAGTCTTTGTTTATTGGCTCCACAAAGTTGAAGGGGAAACTTATGAAACAAAAAGACACGGGTAGAAAAAGCGATTGAATGCATCATAAAAGCAATAGGAGAAGATGACATGATCCAGCTGGCATATTTTCTGAGAATAGGGAGGGTTTGCAAGAAGAAGAACCCGGCCAGTCAAAATGACTTTCAAGGTATGCCAGCATACCAGAAGGTATATCTCGACAGTGACAGAACACAAGAAGAAAGGCAGAAACTGAAAGAGATAGTACAAAGACGAAAGGTGGAAAGAGAGTGAAGATGGAGATGGACAGGAGAGCCCAGACTCAGGAGGAAGATCAAATACAGCATCCCTCACAACCATCTACAGAAGCCCCCCAACCAGGACAACCCTAATGCAACCAAACATTCTAACCCAAAAACACACATGCCATATCTTATGGCCCCACACTCCACATTACTAACTCCATACTCACAGCAACTACCAGTAGTTCCTTAGCAGGTCTTCCACTTCCCCAACCCCAACGTACCTCCAGATCACAGTTTTAGAAAAGAAGTTGAAGGTTTCCTATACAAATGCAGACAGAAGAACAAATAAGTGCGAGGAGTGGCATGAAAGAATCAAAGAGACATCCTCAGATATAATAGCACTCACAGAGACGAAACTCATCAGGATGACAACAGATGCAATCTTTCCACCCGGATACCAAATCCTCATGAAAAATAGAGGGAGGAGAGGGGGAGGAGGAGTTGCACTGCTCATTAAAAACCGGTGGGGATTTGAGGAAATGAAAGGAATGGATAGAATGTGCGAAAGGGACTACCTAGTAAGAACAATCCAATCTGAGGGCCATTAAGTGTAATTGCAGCAATGTACAACCCACCACAGAACTGCAGGAGGCCAAGAGAAGTATACAACGAGAGCAACAGAGCAATGGTTGACACACTAGCAGAGGTGGCAAGAAGAGCTCACATGCGGGGAATAAAGTTACTAGTTATGGGTGATTTCAATCACATGGAGATTGACTGGGAAAACCTGGAGCTCCATGGGGGTCCCGAAACATGGAGAGCCAAGGTGATGAATGTGGTACTGGAAAACCTCATGCTTCATCAAGTTAGAGAAACTACCAGACAGGTGAGGATGATCCAAAAAGACTGGACGTTGTATTCACCTTGAGAAGTTCGGACATCGAGGAAATCATGTATGAAAGGCACCTTGGAGCTAGTGATCATGTGGTTCTATGCATTGATTATATAGTTGAGCTACAAGTGGAGAGAGTAGCAGGAAAAGGACAGGAAAAACCAAACTACAAAAGGGAAGACTACACAGGTATGAGGAACTTCCTGCAGGACGTTCAGTGGGAGCGAGAACTGGCAGGAAAACCAGTACAAGAAATGATGGATTATGTGACTACAAAATACAAGGAGGCAAAGGAGAGGTTTGTTCCCAAGGGAAACAGAAATAATGGGAAGACCAGAACGAGTCCTTGGTTCACCCAAATGTGTAGGGAGGCAAAAACTAGGTGTTCTAGAGAATGGAAAAGGTATAGAAGAAAAAGGAGCCAGAAAAATAAAGAGATCAGCCGAAGAGCCAGAAAAAAATATGCACCGATAAGAAGAGAGGCTGAGCGACAATTCGAAAATGACATAGCATCAAAAGTTTAGTCTGATCCTAAGCTGTTGTATAGCCACATCAGGAGAAAACAACAGTCAAGGACCAGGTAATCAGGCTGAAGAAGGATGGTGG